GTTTTCCTGTTAACTAATACAAATGTGCCATCAGATAACTATGCAGTTTTTTTTAAACAGTATACAATTTGAATAGCATAAGTAATCATTTCACTATTTTTAGGAGACGAAGCATGTACATATATGTTTAGAAATTAATGTCAGGAAAAGAAAAAAAAACATTATGGATGAAAATAAGCTTCCTTAACTTCATGATTACAAACAAACAAAACAGACATCACATAAAATTAAATTATTATTATGTACAAGTACAAATTAGTCAGCAGAAATAAGTGAGGTTAAAAACCAGCAACTGAAAGAAATACTTTGTCTCAAACCAAATAACAACATATTCTAGTTAATTTTCACTGACAGACTTGTCAGGGAATCTTGTAATGCAAAAATAATCACAGCTGAAACAACAAAAATCAAATACTTTGCTGGATGAAAAACCAGCTACAACAATCTTCTTCTGCACTATCCCTTAACAGAGTGGCTGGAACACTATGTTATGGTTGAACTATTTAGATTTCAGCTAGTCCCTTTGTAAAACATGCTTCATAAAGGACAGTGGGTTTACCCCCCCCCCCTCCCCTTTCCAATGAACCCACCAATTGTGTCTATAAAAAATAGCTCTAGCCCTATATGCCCAATGTGCATGCGGCCATGGAAAAAAGTCCTTTACTTTACTTTTAAAGGTGGCCAGATAAAGAAATAACTGCAGGAAAGTATCTACCGCATATATACCATCAGTCTTCGACTCAACAATGATCTAAATGCACTGCTTCAGCTGAACTTGTATACTCTCCAAATTATACATTTCTTAAAAACCAATATTCTCAAATGTGACAGAGTGAGTTCACAAGTGGCCATACATCAAAGCAGTGAGGCACCACTATCACCCGCAGGCCACTTACTTTTTTCAGCCCGACTACTTCCATCACAGACAAACTGCATTTCTTGTAGCAACTGTTGTCTTTGACACCATATGCATTTTTTGTGTGCGTATATTTCTGGATTGTTCCAGGACTAATTGTTTGCTCGCCAGTTTTTTCAAATTGGACAGTGAGGGTCATCGCATCTGATTTGCACTGGCACATGAACGGAGCCAGACTGCAGTGAAGTTGAAGCCTCGACCAAGACTCAATCCAATGCAGTAACTATGTCTCAATATTTATATCCATAGTGTCCTCCAGTCTCAATTTTTTTCCCTATACCCATGAGTGCCAATCAGTACATAACAATCTGTTTATGACGCAGAGTATATTCAAGCTCTTTTATCATCAAAAATATGATATTTTACATTATCCCCAAAAATGTACTTTGTACCTATGTTTAAGGTCAGACCATAGACTTGCCAATATTAGGGAAATTTAGTTGTCACCGCTAAATGTGTGAACTGAAAATTAAAAAAAAAAATTTTTAAACCAGGTCCACATGAAATAATTGAGCTCAGAATCAATATGCTGGCAAGTCACAACAGAACTAATACACTAATTTTGCTATTCACAACTAAATTTCACTTATTTAGGGGTTAAATTTAAAAGTTTACAAGATGAAAGTGACATTACAGTTATGTTTAGATACATAACAAAGAGCTGCTACATTATAAAATATTCATTTTTATGAAATATGATGAATCAAAGAATAAGCAGAAATAGGCAGATATAACAGTAAGAAGAGTATTGCAAAGGGCAGAGATCTGGTCTGAATTAACTTCTTATATAGTTTATTTTGCTTCACCTTCTCACCTTGAGAAGCTGTGCACCCAGCATTTCCATTGGTGACTCAATCCTACAAATGCAGCTTACCCTGCATTTCTGTTATGGGGTTGTTTGTGCCTGCGCTGTATTTAGGAGGCTCAGAATATACTATATATATAATATTATATATATATATATTAGATATAATAATATATAATAGATATTATATATATATAATATATATATATATATATATATATATATATATATATATATATATAGATATATATATATATATATATTAGAGAAAGCAATAAGGGGTATTGTTTGTGGAAAAAAAAAACTGACTGTAAATCCATTCTGGAGTCATAATTTCCCCCACAGCTTGAGTATTAGAATTCCAACAAGGTCTTAGTATGAGCCACCCAATACATTTCTAGGCCCCTGGGATCTACAAAGCATTTCCACTTAAGGCCTTCCCTCCGATCATAAATATTAATTACTCCCTTCATACTTTTCTAAACAATTTTTTTTAAATTTAATATAGATATATATTTTTAAAATTTTATTTATTAGTGATCTGTGTAAAATGGTTGTTTTTTCATTGAATTTTTGGGTGTAATTAATGGCTCGCTGCCCATTTTAAAGCCTATTCCAGTATTGTACGCGAACCGATTATACCTTAACTGATACTAAATGAGACTTAAATACTGTTGCCAGAAATTAAAAACAGTCAGAGGAAATTCACATACAACTGCTTTGGGCAGAGACAGTGACCCTTTCACCCTGTAAATGCTAAAAATAAAAAAAAAACTGGTCATGAACTAAATTTCTGGGTGATAATCCCCTTAAATAAACATATTACACAGAATTTATTTATCTACAATTTTTTTTTCATCAAAATATATAAAGATATATAGAGGGGTGATCAATAAACAGGAACAAAGTGAAGCACTAAATAGAATGCATTTCCCTGGGCGTGAAAGAAACACACCAATGTATCAAATGACTTATGCCGTGATCCAGTGACCTCTATCAGTGTGGCTCACGAGAAAACTCAATATCAAATCGGCATTTGAAAAGTCTTTGGGGTCATAAGGAAGCCCCTAATTAAATGCCATTTTTAGTTATTACATTAACATCCTGGCCTATTAATTAAACACTGCAAAGGTGCACATACAACCATATGGAGTTGAAATTTTTCAAGAACATGACACTGCAGATATAGCCATATACGGGCATGTGTGGGGATGTGACACAGCCAGATGTGACAACATTTAAGCTTCCCGTGGCAAAAGAATCAAGTCAAATTTATTACACACGAAAACCAGATCAGTGGGTTTGTCAGAAGTAAGGCACTGACAACTGAAGTGACAATACCATTGTTAATTAACTTTTACAGATGTCAAGATGGTGACTCTTAGATGAGAAATGACAATGAACCTGACGTAATTTATTGTTATAAATATTAAACAAATCAGACTGCCAATATACTGATTTTACTTTTCGATAGATATTGTAAAATACCACACACGCATAAATATATTGTCTGTGTATCAGATACAATGCTGAAAAAATTCACATAAGGTGAAATGACATATGGTTCAGATGTCCATCAAATGGGATCTGTGAAGATACACATCACAGGTGCCATGGCAAAATTGAATAACGTGGATATAAATGAATACTCCTCTCCCCCCCCCCCCCCCCCACCCACTCTAAGTTTCCAATATTTAGTTAGTCATAATTTCTTAAAATACATCCTGATTATGTAAGTTACAGAGAACTGTATTTTTCCTTAATTATAAAAAGCTGAACACACAACACAAATCAAATGATGGGACAGCCATAAAAAAAATTATGCCAGGTGCATATTCTTTTAAAATTCAAGCACTGGTTTGCTGTTTAGGGTTTTACCAGGCAATTCTGCATTCAGTATTTTGCCACTGGCTCTGAACAGTCAATCAAGGCAAAATGATCTGCTGCCAAACTGCTTGCAGCTGAAAAGATTCAAGGACGTTGGAACGATGTATCTGAGAAAGGTGGTCCAAGTGACAAGAAAAAAAAAGGATGCAATCAGGCAACACGCCATGACTTTGAAACCCAGGCCTAAATAACTAAAGTGGATCAGTCTCAGTTACGATGGTCTAAAGTGGAGCAGTCACAGTTACGATGGTCTGGACATTATAGATCTAGCTGATTAGTATGCAGACTGCTAGTTCTTCAGCTCTCAGGCAGATGCATTCCAACTCCAAAGGAAAAACCAAATTCATTGACTTATATGACATGCTCGTTGTTTTTTTTCTCCGAAAAGGGCACTGGAACCCACAAGGGGATAAGTGGAAAATAAAACCTACGATGGGAACCTTTCAACTTGCTAAAAACCAAAATCAGACAATTTTTAATACTTGAACAAACCTCACTGATGTTCAACTGAAAGATTTCCAACATTTTTACAATGTATTACAAATCTGTAGTTAGTTTTATGACAACAAGCAGATTAAAGCAATCCCAGAAATTTCTCTCTCAGCTGTTCAACAAACATGTCCTGACAGTTTCACAGACACAAAAGGTTGGCAAGAGAATAAACATCAGCAGATATTTGTATGTGAAAAAAAACTACCCCCTCTCAAACCACAGGCACATCGGGCATACAGTGCTAGAGCCATATTTTATCTGTAATCTGGTCAACACTGTGCCTCAGACCTTCACTTCACAGGATATCCTCTGGTATCCAATTTTGGGGACCCACGTCAATTATACAAATTTGCACTTATGTGGATTCAGGCAGAAGACCTTTGGCAATGCACAAAAGTACCTAGCTATTGCAAAGCTACTACCCGGGCAAAACTGGAGTAGAGAGTGCCTTCCGTTGACTTTTTATCACAGAACCATAATAGCAGCACAGCAGAATGTAGTGTCCAACAAAAGGAATGATACAGATACATTCTCAGAATTACAGTTTAAAAAATTAAAATAAGTCAAAATTATACAAGGTTAATGCTAACATGTTTATAGAAGAAATAAATGCAAATGTTCAAGAAAAGTAATTAAATTTAGTCAAATAATGCCATTAGCCAGGAGTGCAATGAGATAACCTTAACAGACAACAATGGTTTTGCAGTACTAAAAATAAAATCGCTTCATTTCTGCCAATTAGAATTTTTTTTTTCATTTCACACTGTATGCAACTATTGAAACATGGTTTTCGTCAAAACTAAATGCCAAGACTGAATGGCTAAGAACAAAATAAAAGTCCTTTCTTTGTTTGTTGGTTTCAATGGTGCCAGCAATTTGAAGAAGGGTCTGCCAAATCTGCTAGTTCCTACAGAGATCAGAGAAAGACGAAGAAGGAGTAGATTCCATAGAGGTCGTCGATGAAGAGGAGGAAGATGTGGGAGTACTGGCTCCATCTGCACCCGAGTGAAAACTGGGTGAGAATTCTGCCTCATTTGCAGAAGTGTCCTCTCCATTCAGATCCTTTCTACACACTGGACAGGTACCATGCTGTGAAAAAACAAGATAAAACAAATCATGGCCAATGTTAATAACACATGAGACAGCCAACACTTTAATAAACATCTCCATATGTTAATCTTTTTTTAAAACACAACCACATCTAGAAACTTCATAAATGCAAACATTGCACTGATAAAGTTAAGACATTAAATAAAAGGACAGTTATTACACCAGTGGTGCATCTTGTATTTGATGCTAGACATATTTGTATCGACCAATTGGCACTCGGTGGGTGGTGATGTCAACATTTTAAACCCAAGATCTGTGGACCAACAAGTCAGCATCTTGCCTAAAAGTTACCACAGTCAATTAATTAAACACAGACACATATTTTTATCACATTCATATCTCCAGCCACAAACTGTGCAAGTGCCAGGACTGAACCACCAAAACTCAAGGTCCTTAACAGTTCCGCATCATAAAAGAGAAGTGCAAGTTTTAATCCATGACCTATCAATTCTCTGCGATTTTTAGTCCAGCAAATTCTTTGCTGTTCTTAGTCCAGCACATTCTTTGCTGTTCTTTACACGGCAGATTCTGTGCTGTTCTTTGTTCAGCAGATACTTTGTCCAGCAGATTCTCTGCTGTTCTTAGTCCAGCAGATTCTTTGCTGTTCTTTACACCGCAGATTCTCTACTGTTTTAAGCCCAGCAAATTCTTTGTCCAGCAGATTCTTTGCTGTTCTTTACACAGCAGATTCTTTGTCCAGCAGATTCTTTGCTGTTCTTTATCCAGGGGATTCTTTGTTGTTCTTAGTCCAACAGATTATTTGTTATTCTTAGTGTAGCAGATTCTTTATTTTTCTCACTTTGCTTTCAAATTTCCTATATACATCTGGTTTTTTTTTAATGCAGTGAGAACAGATATAAGGCACAACAAAGACTTCAAGAAAGAAATTAACTCATTAACAGAACTGGATATGTGCATCATAAGTGACAATCCATATTAACTCAGACAGAACTGGATATGTGCATCAGAAGTAAACAACCCACATTAACTAATAAACAGAACTGGATATGTGCATCGGAAGTAGACAATCCACATTCTTTGGGCATATCATGAGACTGAAAGAGTATGTCATGAGCAAAAGAAAAGTGGAGAGGCAGAAGGAAACCTAGAGAGAGATGCTGAGCCATAATGGTGTTAAGGAAGAACTGTATCAGAAATTATACAGACATGATAAGGTAACAATGCAATGGATGCCATCCCACTGTGGACTTCCCGGAAATAAGGCTGATAAACTAGCTAAGGAAGGTGCAAATGGAGAACACCTGATGCAACGGTCTCTAATCAGCAGAAGAAGAGAATAATCAAATCAATCAGAAATCCACCAAAACCTGCAAAAGACAATTACCATATACTGGACAGACCAGAGCAAGTCATTATTCTTTGTCTTAGAACAGGACACAATCGATGTTTCAGCCACATGTACACAAAATGTAAGACTTGCAAAATCAGCCATGTGTACATGTGGATTAGCACCTGAGACAACAGAACACTTACTCCAAGACTGTCGCAAATGTAACATATTAAGGCAAAACTTTTGGTCAAGAGAAACACTAGTGCAAGCCAAACTTTACGGGTCACTGACTGGATTAAAACAGACAGTGAAGTTCACACCAGAGACAACACTGCAGATAAAGATAATCTATTTCAAGTGAACGAAATCTGAAGAAGAAATGATTGATCGCATATGACATATAAGATCATACAGACATGATGATGTCACCTTATAATCCATGCAGTGATGCACTGGTAGTCATATCCAATCACAACCTCTTGTCTTGTACACTTTCAATAAATTTTGACACAGATGATCTTCCATTCCCCATGATGGAATAAAAATAATTTGTTGTTGTTGTTAATTTGTTTCCTGGGCCGAAATAGGTTTACAATTTCAAGATGTTCTTATTCATAACATTTGTCAGGATACTGTGAAAGATACATAAACTTAATTTAAATTATCAGTACTTACCATCTCTAACCATTTGATAATACACTCTGAATGGTACAGGTGGTCGCAGGGCAGCTTTCGGACCTCCATGGCCAGCTCAAAATCATCCATACAAATGGAGCACTGCTGTGTGTTATCTGTCATTAGTCACACAAAATGTAAACACATTAGTCACAAAAAATGTAAACAGAACGAGTGTCAACAACGATCCACTGAATCAACCATAAATGCATTAAAATAGTCTTCTTCTTCATGTTCACTGGCTGTAAACTCCCGCGAAAAGTTCTGCTTGTTCATTAACTTCTGGACTTTGTTCCAGAGCTTAAATTTTGTGTACACATCCGTTTTACAAATCTAGCTTAAAAATGTGCAGACTGTTGGTTCTCTCCCTTTCGAGTAGATGTACTTCGACTTTAAAAAAAATACGGGTAATTAGTAGTCTTTTATGACATGCTTGTTAAAGCGTCTTGGTGGCTTGGAAAAGACGGTGATGGAAGGTGCAGTCTGTGGAAGGTGAGGCAGGGGTCGACCACCGGGAAGATGGATACAAGACACTGAAGATGCACTGGCTTTCAATGTCAGCTGTAGAAAATTTCAACAAAATATCCATTCTTCTGTCATCCACCCTTTCCCTTGCACTTTTACCAATATTCCAGGCAGCAGCCTCTCCTTAGGCATGGATTTACTTTTTCAAATGACATAAGGTGGGAGTTTGTGTCCGTCAAAAGTGATAATCTATCAATATGGTACAAAGCTGCTATTCTGCTCCTGAAGTTTGCAAGAGCACTGTCTTTTCACCATCTCTGTTCCTGTTGTCATTGTCTCACCAAGCACACCCAAGAATATGGGAGTTTCACTTGCATTTCTATTTGCCCCATGTTGTAGTTGTGTGTCTTCTGTAACTTCACAACATGTCATTTGAAGTGCAGTTCCTCTTGGTAGGTGTGGGGAAGTCGCTGCATCACTGTTGTCTGCGGCCAAATCATAAGGTATTTTTATGCCATAAGTGCCTTTAACAGCCATACCTCCGGGGTCCTATTATAGGGACAACAAGAATAGACCCACTGCCTACACAAAGGCATGTCGTAAGAGTAAACTAATTGGGAGCTTCCTTTGAAGTCAGAGTGCATCTGTCTGAGAGGCAAGAAACCAACAGTCTACATATAAATCTGGCGTGATGCTGACCACATCACACACCAAGTGCCGATTGGTCTATAAAATATAGGTCTAGCCCTATATGCCCTATTCACCTAAAGGCGTGGAAAGGGGTCCTTTACTTTACTTTTTTTTTTACTACATATAAATGAGTCAGATCTGTAAAACAGATGCACACCAACATTCAGGTTCTAGAACAGGACTGCAGTCCAGAAGTGGATGAACAACCAGAACTTTCTGCCACAGTTTGTAGCTGGTGAACAAGAAGAAAAAGAAGAAGAACAAGAACAAGAAAAAAAAGATTATTTACTCTGGGGAATTCCGATTTTACAGTGCTTACAGGTACTACTTTTCAGTTTAGATCTGCAGACTCAAACAGAAAGTAACATACAACAATTTTCCGTCTACGAACAGAACACAGCAGGCTTAACTGCCACATGCATAAAACGAAGACTATACTCCCCACAGTGTGCCGGTCAAACAGGACCTACAAACACCTGAGTGCATTCTGCAGACCTGCCCACTCTACAACTTCAAAAAGACACCTGGCCTCAAGAGCAAAATGTGCAGAGCAAGCTATGGGGGAACCATAAAGGACCTGCTATTGACATGCGAGTTCACAGAGGCAACCCACCTGATGGTCTAATCTGAGCATATGAAACTAAACACAAAGAAGAAAAGAAGAAGTAGAAGAAATGTAGGTCTCTTGGCAAAATTCTAAGATTTTTGCCTAAAATTATCATCTCAGTAACTGGGCACAGCTTTAAATGCCTAAACATGGTAAATCCTCAACCAAAGCAGCTCTTACAGACTTGATCACTACTGGTTTCATTTTGGGCCATGGTAATACACATGCCTACCACAGGACTACCTTCTGCCTTTTTCAGTCATCTCACTGTGAGGTTTTCACTATTTTTTTCTTCTTCTTAACTGCACATCTAGAAATAATTGTGCATACAAAAATCAGCACTGATTTATGTAAATTTAAAATTAATTTAACTGTTATCACATCCATAACTCCAGCCACACATGAGAAATGCCATGACTAAACTATTAAAACTCAAGATCCCAGTTGTATGCTATGACTGATGTATTCTCTAGCTGTTTTTGTCATTCCTACAGTTTCTCTTACCTACCTCTCTAGAGGTTTGAAAAGAACTTATTTAACCAGAATCGGTCAAGACAAGCACACCAGAGCTTTCTTCATATGCACATACTAGTAGACAAGAAAAGAAGTTGATAAGACTAACATACAAGTTTTAACTCACCAACGTGACTCTGCTCGATAATAACCCTTGGTAAGTTTTCTATTTTGTCTTTCTGGGCAGGGGGAGCACCTGTCCCTTCCAAATGATTCAACAGCTGTAAACAACAAGGGAAATTGTAAAAGAAATGTTACATAAGATGACAGTTACAAGTTACTAACATATCTAACAATGTACAGTATATGTCAAGTTAACATTTCTATAAATATTACCTCTCCATTATAAATAAATTTACCGGCACTGATTGGCACTCAGAGGTAACCACTGTCATTTATCATTATTATCATCAACATCCCGTAACACAAAGTGTCGTTGGGTCACCAGTTTCTGCTGACTGATCAGCTCTCTCCACCTTTGGCGGTCAGTTGCGAGGGACTCCATGGTTGCATGCCTGAGGCCTGTCTAGTTAGTCAGGTTCTGTAACCAGCACTTTCTTGGTCTGCCTTCTCTCCTCTTTCCCTTTACTGAGTCCTGCAGTAATGTTTCTGAGAGGCCGTTAGATCTTATTACATGTCCAGAGGTTCATTGTTGCCAATGTGCTGTATAATTTTATGGCGAACCTCTCTGTTTGTAATGTGGTCTCTGTATCATATGCCAAGATTTTTTCTGAAACATAACATTTGTAATGCTTGTATCTTTCTTTCCAGTTCAGCTGTTAAAGTCCACGTTTCACAGCCATATGTAAATGTACCAATAGCTAGTGCACTGAGCACTGTTATTAGAACAAGTAATATCACCATCATCACCCTGTTGTGCCACGATATGTAGCAGTGCTAGCAGTCTATTTCTTCATTTCCTTCTATTCTGTACAATTCTTTCAATATCACAGATGGAATCCAATCTGGATATTTTTTAAGGTCAAAGAAGGCAATCCAAACTCCTGTCTTTCTGTATTATTTGGCAGAGGAATGTATTTTCCATCTGCTGTCCAAGCTATATAATGGAAATTATAAATATGAAAAGGACGAAAGAAACAAAAACACGTAGGCTTGGTCTGTAATGATGTGAATGGTGGCAATGATGGAGAAAACAGTCTGGTTTATTAATTAACTGGTATAAAAAAAAAGCTTAAAGTTACATGTGCCCTCCCCTCCCTTTTGCATTAAAATTTGTGTGTGCGTGTGAAGGTGCAAAATCTGTTAATTAAAGTCTTCAGCCTTTTAAAGAGCAGTTAGGATGTTGTTTTGTGGTTTATAGCTAGGGTGATGTACCTGTGCCTTTAATCCAACACATCCTAATTCAGCAAACCCCCTAAATAGTTGCCTTTTATGATATGCTTTTAAGGGAGGGGTAGTGGGTCTAACAACACCCCCCCCCCCCTTTCCCCAATGCTGCTGAATAATCCAAACTGGATGTTTATGAAACTGAAATGAATTCTCACCTGTGATATGATTGCATCAAGACCATTTGGACCCCAAGCATAGTCTGCTGGATTGCCACGTAAAATTCTGTTGACAATTTCATTTTTTTAAATGTGTCATACACAGTAAAAAGTCACTATCCAATCTAATGAGAAAGGTTTAGGAAAACAAATAACAGCAGCAATAATTCTTCCCCAAGATGCACTGCTGTGAGTCCTTAGTATATATACCTAAGTATCTATATATATAAATATATATATATATATATATATATATATATATATATATATATATATATATATATATATATATATATATATATATATATATATATATATATATATATATATATATATATATATATATATATTCACTGATTCACTGCAATGCCAAATGAATTGGTCTCTCTTCACAGAGCAGTTCTATTATCTGATAAGAGCAGGACACAATGCACAAACTTCCCAGCTCCCCAAGAGTTGCAGAACTCATGAACAGGGCAGGAACCTAACTGAAACATACGACCTTCAGAGTGCGAAGCAAACAGCATTACTGTCGTGTAATGATAAGCCATTACACATCAGTCCTAAAGACTGGTAACTTAACTTACCTGTAAATCGGCACAACATTCAAACTTGGACTCGTCCGGGAAGGTATATAGTCCCATATATCGATATATGCCTTTATCGGACAAAATTATAATATCTACATCTTCTAGTTGCTTTGACTTAACACAACTTTTAAATGTACATCTATTGGATAAATATTAGAGGAGTTATTTGAGGTTTCGTGGAAACCGATTTACTCCTTGCCCCTGTATACTAGGAACTACTTCTTACCAACGCCTGGAGAGGGAATTTTGCGCCATTCTTTTTGCCGGCTTCCAAGCGTTCAGACGTGTCAATCGACGCCTGTATAATTCATTTGTAAAAAGGCAATCTGAAATGTCTAGGACTTTTCATATGCTTGGGATGAAACCTTTGTGAAGAGAGGGCAGAAGAATCACAGTCCAACCAACACCCACCAACCATAAACCATAACCCATCAATCAATTAACCCATTACCTACTTATCATCACCCAACTACCAATTGAGAAGACTGTCCTCCTCAAGATGGGGTACAATATAACCCAAACATCATCCAGTGCCAGAGCATGTGTGTAGCTCAGGGACAGTGCTGTGAGTTACTCGTGGGAGAAGGTGCTGTGTGCCTATCCAGTTGCTGTGTACCTATCCAGTTGCTGTGTGCCTATCCAGTTGCTGTGTGCCTATCAAGATGCTGTGTGCCTATCCAGTTGCTGTGTGCCTATCCAGTTGCTGCGTCCTTTATGGTGAGGTACTTCTCCACCATCTGATCCAGTGAGGCAGAGTCACCAAAGACAGTCGAATCATCAGGAGCTGAGGGAAGCATCACCGATAGAAAGAGGATAAGTGACAGTTTATACCATGTATTGCTATATTCCTCACAGCTTCCATGTTTCCCAATGATGACACTGTGTCATCTCCAGGACCTTCTGTCTGTGTAATTTTGGTGATCTGGACATTGTATCCTGGAATCCAGCTATAGAAATCTGACATCTACTTCTCTATTTTTATATATGTATATATTATACTGATTACATGCAATCATTTTCATGGCTGACTTAGGGTCTGTCTCTATTTCACCTTATTAAGTGTCTAGCAGTTGTGTGCGTATGAATCTTAAATATATGTGTTAACATGGTTATGATAATGAACTATCATAACCTGGGGGCTTTCTTTAGTAAGTAGTGGGGGTGTCCAGACAAGTGTGCCTAGGAATATTGTATTCATATACAGATATATTTTGTAGTACCAATACTTGAGTTGCCCTACTCCAGAAATAAGTTGAGCGTATATTGGCCACGGGGAATCCCTTAGACCAATACGAGCCAAGCGACTCAACATAATTATTTCTGAGTGCTGTTGGTTCTGAAGGAGAAATCCTTATATCAGGCACGTGACAGGAGTGATATGTGACAATTACCCTATTAACAGGAATGCTCAATTTTTTTTTTTACTGACAGAAAACACTATAGCTGTTACGTTTTGTGTGTGCAGGAAAGTTTTCAGCTATTCAGCAATAAAGACACATATTTTAATATATCAAATGTTATCCTTCTCCACAGAACCAGACATAAAAAAAAATAACATTCCACTGTTTATCTGCCTTCAACTATATATAAGATAACTATTAACTGGCTAATGCAGAACTGACAAAGCAGTACTTTAGGCATCCAACAATGCTTTATGTATCTCAGGAGATGCAAAGTATAGATACTAATTGTTTCAGTTACATGCTGGTTATAAACACATCTGTCTTCTTAATCGTCCAGGGCGCTTATAGCTATCAATGAACATTGCAATAAGTGCTTTTAAAACAAGAGATTCCCCATTAAGAGTGATAACAAACCAACCTACTCCTATCACAGCAACACAAGTCCTACCTCAAATGCAAAACCAAACCAGATTCTTATAAAGCTCTTATCACAAACCAAACCAGATTCTTATAAAGCTCTTATCGCAAACCAAACCAGATTCTTATAAAGCGCTTATCGCAAACCAAACCAGATTCTTATAAAGCTCTTATCACAAACCAAACCAGATTCTTATAAAGCTCTTATCACAAACCAAACCAGATTCTTATAAAGCTCTTATCACAAACCAAACCAGATTCTTATAAAGCTCTTATCACAAACCAAACCAGATTCTTATAAATACCTTATCAGTCTTCAATAAGCAATGATGTCAAACATTAGAATTTCACACCTCCTTAGAGTTTAACAGCACTGTTTCTTCTATCAAAATGTATACGACACAACTGTTATGTCAGTAAGCTAAGGAATGGCTTACACACCACTGACTGGTGCATCAGGCATGTGGCACTATATCCACATTTTAAAAGATCGATCAGCATCCAATGAGAGTGGTTGATACAAAAATCTGCCAGCCACCCTTCTTTTCCAGAACATTGCCTAGTATTCATGTTAGACTGGAAACATCAAAGGCAAGATGTGCTTAAAATTATAGAATCTAAGAATATCTAGCTGTAACCAAGCTGTTTTCTTGATGCTGTTCATGCTATTTGTTTTGTTTTATTGATATTGTGAAGAATAGATTAGTTCTACTTCTCATCTGAAGTTATGTTTTTTTATCACTTTTTTTTCTTATGGACTGATTGGTTTGTTGGCTGTGAATCCTCTAATGTTCAGATTATTCAAGTCATGAAAATGGTTGCATCTATCAGAGAGATTGATGCACTTTTCTCATGAACATGTACCATAAGATTCTCCACAGGGGACTGCGCTGCAGAGCTTACCCTCCCCTCTTCACAAAACGCATATTACAGAAGAATGGCCCAGGTTGGTAATGTTTTCTGGACAGGTTTTAGATGTCATCATTAACAGACTCCAACCTGGATGATCTGTTTGAACATTAAAATTTTAACTAAATTTAGCTTATTTGTTAGGTTCCAAAGCCTGAAGTCTAGCACATTCTGCAGCTTACTGTGTTGAGTAAAAAAAAAAAAAACAGTTGATAAACTTTTACAATACTGCAAGAGGTACTTACAGTGGAGTCCGTCCCAAATTGTTGCCTACTTGCTGCACCACATAATTGATGATCCTGGAAGGACAGATCAAAGAGTAGAATGAAATTTTACAATAAAATTATAAGCATCAATTTTTATTTTGCAACGAAAGTAAATAGCTTCAAGTAGTTTGACTCATGTTAGTATAATAAACAATAACGTTAATTGTATCCATTACAGGATGTTTCACACAAACCAAAGCATTTGCTGGATGTTATGGTTATATTAGGAAATGTTATGTTCAGCAGTGTGCCACTGCTTTCTGAATGGTCAGGACTAAAACAGTTTTCAAAATGGCTAATAGCAGCTTTTTTTAAATGGCTGTGACTTCTCTTGCACTGTTCTATTCCCTCATCATTGTGTGTGCATTTCCAACACAGGATGCTATGTGTTTTTCATGGAAATAGCGTGTATTGTGGTTGTGCTATGTCAGGGAGAGATAACGACAGATCTGGCTGCCTCGACAGTGTTTTGACAACAGCTCTCCACCATCTGGGAAGACAGAATCTCGACAGCAGGGGACTGCAACTGTCTAGAAAGCAAACTTTAGAAAAGCTATGCCCAGTAGAGTGTCAATCATTTTATGGTGGAAAGGAATCAACAGATACTGTTAACTCAATGGCCATGGCCAAATACCATTGTTGAAATGAACACAAAGCTGTCTGCTACCAAATCAACCGCAGCTGAATTGAAACTGTTGTCTGAGAATTACAAATCACAACTTTCGCATATGAATATATATGACGGTGATGAAGACAATGGGCATGGACTTAAAAAAATTAGTTCCATTTAATCTCTAACTATGGTATGTGTTTACCATTTTCCAGATGAATTTCACTTTGCGTGCGCTAATAACAATCAGATATCCTTTTTCTAGAACCCTCTTGATCACATTCATATTTACTTCTTTTCTTCTAGTTCCAAATGCTGCTATAACTCTTCCAGTACTCTATGCTTTTTATCTTATTAATGTCTTTGTTCTTTTACTAGGATTATTCATTCACTGCTAAATGTTGCTACAATTTTCTCTCAGTTTATCAGTGCTGTCTTTGCCTCTGGGATTACTCACTCACTACTGCTTGATGCTATAATTGTTCCAGCATTGAATTATTTTCACTGCTCTTTTCTGTATACTTTGATCATTTATTCACCGAGAGCAGTAGTATTTTCAAAGGTGTTTATGTAGGCTCTTGGTTCCTTCTAAATCTCCCCCCCCCCCCCAGTCGCCTCCTACAACATGCTTGATGGGGAATCAGCTTGTCTATTCTGTTCTCAAAAATGGTGCTCTGGAACACACAGGGAGGTGAGTAAGCAATCCAGGTTCCTTACTTTCTTGTTTCCTATATAATACTATACAACTCTCTAAACGAGAAACGGCATCTATCAAGTTAGAGTCACATTAAATTACAAATAAAGTTGAAATGACCATTGAATTACAACATTTATGTTTGTCCTGGTACTGCCATACTGAGGCACTCAGGGGGGAAAAAAGTGTCCTTGTCTTTCAGACGTCACACATCCAGCGGAAGAGAAATTCTTATTTTGTGAAGATCACAAACCTCTCTGGTTTTACAATTTTTACTGATCCCCAAAGAACAGCCTATGAGTGAAACTCAAAATACAGAAGTGAGATTAACTGGTCACCTACAGGACGCAATGATTCCCTGTGAGAGCCCCGTACCAGAGCACAGTATATCAGCTCTGTATTTATGAAGCCAAATGCCTTATGAAGTCAGATGTGCTCTCTCAAACATTATGCTTTAAATAGGAACAATGCAATTACATCACTTGGATGAACGATAAAGAAGACTAAGCAGAATTAGATAAGACCTGACTAGCAATCCTAGAAGATAAGAAGTCTTCTCTTCTTTGTGTTAACTAGCTTTAAACTCCTGCAGAGATATTCATCCACTTCTGGGCTTTAGTCTTGTTCCAGAATTTCAGATTTGTGTGTACACCCATTTTACATATTTTGCTGATCTAGAAACAGACTGCTGGTTTCTCATCTCTCTGCGGATGGACTCACAACTGTCAAGGAAATCAGTTGACTTTTACGACAGCAGATCTAATTTTTTTTGTAGTCTTCCCCCCCCCCCCCCAAAACCAGGGCCTTGGAACCCACATGGGAAGAGAAAGAAGTAACAGGTAAAGGCAGCTCCCTTGGCAGATATTGCTATCATTATCATCATTCTCTTTATGCCTAGTGGCACATGAGGCTTCAGAGAGGACTTTTCATGCTCTCCTGTCCTGTGCAATCTTCAGTGCAGTTTTCCAACTCAGAAATGCTGCACTCAGGTCACTTTCCATCATCCTTCTTCATGTTGTTTTTGGATGCCCCTTTTTTTCTTTCCCTCTGGTATCCATGTGAGAGCTGTTTTGGTAGGGATTCATTTTCATAACATGGCCAAACCATTTCCACCACACTACCAAGATATGTGAACTGTTCTACATTTTCAAGTGTTTGGTTATTTATGGTCACTGGTTGGTGAATTTATCCTCAGTCCTACCATTTCTGCTGTGCTATGTAGTCTGTTAATTTTCTCTTGTATATGTTCATGTTTATGTGACAGGAGTGCTATATCATCTGCAAAATCAAGGTCCTCAAGCATGGTGAATCGTGTCCATTGTATTGATGCTATGGGATTTTTTTTTTTTTATTTCTGGCTTTCACACACTCCATGCCATCTGAGGTTAACAAGTTGAGTTCCATTCTTTATTACCTTGCCTTCCAAGACATTTATCTTGTTCCTAATTTTTTGTAAAGGCTAGGTCGCGCCAACGTCATATTGACAGGGAAAAACTCTACTTCTAGGGAATGAACTCAAGATGACCTTTTCAGCATGTAAGCACACTAACCACTATAGCTCCTGAGAAGGAAGTAGATAGTCACTTTTGAAAACACTATGGTCATCAGTTACAATGGAATACACCCAAATACTTTATATATATTACTTTGTAAGAAGGGATGCATAGTTATCTGTAATGGTACAATCACACTAGGTAACCTTACAACAAATCATTCATGTTCATAAATTAAATTACTAAAATATAGAAATATTTCAGCCAAACACCTGCTTACCTCAGCAAAATCTATAATAGAATCTTGATCATGTGAACCAGTTGTTGGCTGTGCAGGCAAAGCTGGTCTGTTAAGGATAATAGCAGATTGTAAAATAGTTTCTTACAAATATGAGACGTTAACAATCAGTATTCTTAACAACAACAAAATCAGATTTAAGAATCTGTAAAGGTTACTAACATTAATCTTCAATGCATTTCTACTGATCGCTCTTAAGTATTTTAACCCACTGGATCGTGATTTTTTAGTACCAAATAATGCGAATGACTTGATGTAAAAGTAAAAACACAGGTAAAAAGTTGGGGATTAAAAAAAAACATTTTTGTCTAGATCAATCGGCACTGGATGAATGATGTAAAAATTACACAAGCCGCTCTTACTCATTTTATTTGAACTGGGTCAACCTAGGCGGCAAAGTGGTAATTTTTGTTTCAAATCTGCTGTGCACAGATTCAACCCCAAGGCCTTTGGCCCATAGGCAAGTGGCTAGCCAGCCACAATGCCAATGCAGCTTCCTTATAACTAAAATCTGGATGCAGAGAATTCTTGTTAGCAGTTCAGCCTGATAATTCTTTGCTGCCAATATTTGTATTCTTCATTATCCTATCTACATGAAATATTTCTCTCTCTACATCCTTTGCATGTCACAGCTTACATACAAGGCATTCCCAAGTGATCTCCACGTCTATCGGTCTGCCTATGGTATATATTTCCCATGTTATTTTGCATTCCTTCATTCCTCTTTCTACTGTCCTTCTCCAGGTCTTCTTAGGTCGTCCACGTCTCCCCCCCCCCCCCATATGCCATCCATTGATGAGCTGTCCTTGTCAAAGTGTTATGATGCCTCCAAACATGTCCAAGCTATCTCTATCTTCTTCCTTTAATAACATCTGCCACTGATGAACATTTTGTACTCCTCTTCTGGTTCCTCATGTGCGTCAGATCAAAATTTTGCTGAATTTATTATGGAAAGTCTCCGAGTATATCCTGTTTTCATTTTCCAACAATCACTGCTGTATATTCTGAGTTTTCCTTTGAAACTAATTTCCCCTGACATCCAAATATTGTTAAGCATTGCAAATGTGGGTGATATCTGCAAAAATGAACCTTGAGGGCTCAAATGCTGAAGAAGAGATAACAGCTAGGTCTGAAAATCAGTAAGTGAAAGACAAAGAAAATGAGAATGAATTAGGCAAATAGCATTGTGGTTCCTCCTAATGGTATCCCACTCCAAGACATGGGGTTTTACACCTATTTGGGCAGTAATGTAGACTAAGATGGGGGAAACAGAGAGATATCAAAATTTGAATACAAAAGGCAGGGCAGCTTAGTACTAGGTAATTTGTGGAGGTCAAAAGAAATTAACTGACAATAAACCTGAAATTTTTAATTCTTACGTCATAACAGTTCTGTTGTAAGGACTTGAAACACAGAGAACAGCTGAGGCAAATAATAATAAACTTTAAACATTCACTAACCCGTGCCTGCATAAAACAGAAGGAATTAAATGGTATGATCAAATCATTTAAATAGAGAAAAAAACACATTTCAGTGTACCAAGAGGTGAAGAAAACAAGTTGCTGTTGGATAAGTCACACATTAAGAAAACCTGAGAACAATATAACTAGAATGTCTTAGCACTGGAACCCCAGGGGCACAGAAATAAAGGCAAATACAAAAACACATGAAGAAGGAAGCTAGAGAGTGAAGTTAAAAAGATGGGCAGGACAAGAGTGGAGCTGCCTGAAAAAAATGAGGGATAGAACGGTTTGTTGTGAGTTGGTTGAGGGCCTATGCTGCTCTATTTGAGGGTTAGAAAGGCAGAAGAAGAAAAGATAACAAATGCTTTGCTTGCTTTTTTTTTTTTACTTGATGTCACATCCTTTTCAGAATTCCTATCTGAAGTAACTATACTTTTGGGGTATTTAACTTCTTTGACTTCATTTAAAACACCTGAATTTTCTGTTTTACAAATATTGTTAACTACAAATTTTTTCTGCTTGTCCTGAGTCCTATCCTGAGGTGTACTGTCAAGTCTTTCAATCTTTTCCTGATAATCCATGTAGCATTTCTGCTGACTCCTGTATTAATAAATAAACTTTCTGTTGTATGATTATTGCAGATTAATTACCTTGCATAGGAAGTTTTGATTACATTTATTATGTTCTGTGGTATGCTATAGTGGTACAGAATTGTCCCTAGAGATTTGCTACACAGGCTACCAAAGGCATTTTCAAAACATATGAAGACAATATAAACTGCACTAGTCTATGCGTTACTTTGTTCAATCATATGAAAATGCGGTCAATGCAATATTTCATCTTTCTAAAACCTGCTTACTCTTGTCTCATCTCACCATTATTCCAAATTTTCTTGACAACACACTAAGTATTGATTTACCATGTTTAGTGGATTTACCATGTTTAATGGTGACAGCCTACCATAAACCTATGGGTTCTTACAGTATCTTCTCTATACAATGTCTTACCAACTTCTCGTACAAACTTTATTCTGTATTCACAGCTCCTTTAGCTACGCAAGCTGTGCTCTGTCGATTCTGAAGAAGTCAGAGTGCATCTGCCTAAGAGGTAAGGAACTAACAAAAGTCTGCATATAAATAAGTCAGATCCGTAAAATGGATGTGCATTCAAAACTCAAGTTCTGGGACATGAATACTGTCCAGAAGTGGATAACAAATATAACTTTTTGCTGGGAGTTCTCGGCTGGTGAATGTTAAGAAGAAGAAAAGGAGATGAATGCTGGAGGGTGATTCTGTAGCAATTAAGGGCTTGGAATGCTAAAGAATAAGAAGAATGCTAAAGAATAAGAAGAAGAGGAAGAAGAATTTAATATACAATATTAAAATACACGATTTATTAAATTTAACAATACAGCTGCTTACTCTTCCATTTCCTCTATGAAGCCACTGTTACATCTTGAGCATGTGAAAGCCTGAAATTGACAATAAATTTCTGCAATATCTATTTTTTAAACTAATATAGCTGATATTTTTCTTTCTATTTTTGAACATCGTAAGAAATGAGATTTATATTTTGCCTTTTGACCATGGTTGAATATTTATTGTGGCATTAGTTTTAACAAGCCTTTGTACTTTTTTAAAAATTTGTTTTAACTGGTATTTTCACGTTTTCCACACTATTAAATAACAAAATAACGTTTTCTTCACTGCAAGCTGCAGTGACCGCCTCCACTCTCATGCTAATGTTGTGGTATCATATGCCAGACTGTCCTGCACTAAAGATTTTCAATTGGCTTTCGCAACAAAACCCCAGGCACTTCTCTTCACTCTCAACACAGAACCATCTATACAGATAAACAGGTCATCAGGATGAGAACTGTCACAAATCTTCCATCTCAATAGCCCTCACTGGCCACTCTCTGCACTCCTGGTATAATGTGATAATAACCCTACATAGGTCTGACTTGTCCTTTAGTACTCGGACCAAATCCTTTCCTCGCCCCATGTTTTTCAGCATGCGTACTTGTCTTATTGTGTCTTCTGCTTGAGCTATCCATGATTTTCCCTTTTTCAGCCTCTGACGCTTAACTGCAACCAAAGCTTCATAGAGAGGGTGCTCTTCATCTGCAGCTACTCTAAGGTATGACTTAGCCTGCTGAACCTTTAGCCTATCTACAACAGTCGGCAATGCAAGGATGTATCGCTTGCACACAATCGGGGTTTTTCTTGTACATCCCAGGATCACCCCCATAGCTTTATTCTGTATGGGCTCCAGTTTCACTAGCTAACTCTTCGAGACAGTGAGCAAGCCCAGTCCAAAATCAATCACTGAGACGGATAAGTGATGGTATAGTGTGAATAGCATTCTTTGCTCCGTGTCCACTGCTGCCATAATCTTTAGTGCATTAAGACCTTTTTGGGCCTTTAACACAACCACCTCTATGTCATCCTTAAAAGACAAGCTTCTGTCAAAGGTGATTCCCAGCTACCGCAGTCTGCAGTCTCTCTTGATGTACCTGCCATTTATTTTTAGGCTTGGAAATCAGCTCTAACAATCCTGGTGTGCAAAGAATACCACAGGACGGTTGCCTTTTCTGGGTTGATTACAGCACTAATCTCTGTTTACCAGTCGATCACCTTATCTGCTGTCGCCTGTAACTCTTGAGCAATTTGATTTCTATCTCTTCCCTGCCTATATGTGAGAATATCATCTGTGAATGTCAATATTCTACAAACTCCAGGTGTTTCCAGTTCCGCAATCACACGGTTCGGAGGGTACGAACCCAGGTGATAAGCTACCCAGCGATAATACAAAGCAGCTGCTATGCAGTTCACCAACCAAGGACAGACTCCCTTCTCCATAAGCGCTGTCATCAAAATATTACATCTCTGCTGTAAGCATCTTCTAAATCGAGTGCCACCACCACCGTTTCCTGCCTATTCTGGAAACCACTGAAGGCGCCAAAACAAAAGTGGCTGCATTTAACCATGTATAAAGAACAACCTGCTGGTGCCCGAGGTAAGTTCCTTTTCCTCACACCTGTAACTAAAATCACTGAGCCAAACAACAAAATATCAATTTTCATAATATTTTAAATAATGTGGACACAAATAATACACTGTAACATTTATTGCCAAGCATACTTTAATGTATCTCCTTATGTATGTTACAAAAGAGTTACATTAACATATAAATTTAAAAAAAAATTTTTTTTAATTGAAATACAAATGGTCTTTCTCAATATATTGTGTTCGCATGATCGAAGGAAGTTTATGATAGCCCTGTGACTTACCAAGATAACGTCAAAATACTTATAATAAATAAATGTACTGTTTATTCATATATAGAAACTAATGACTTTCATCAAATTAGTAATAGCCATTATGGCGTTAACGCAATCAAACAGCCACCAATACACATTGCTTTCTCTGGCAAATAAATTTAAAAGTGTGTCATGGAACTCACCACCTGCTACATGCACAGGTAAAGTAAAAATATTGATTTTTTTTTCAAAATCGAAATATAACCAGAATTGATGATGACTACCTTCTGTTTTCAGTATGCCTAGCTAAATATATGGGAGCCGCAATATTATATGTGTATCCACAGATCTCCATAGTGCTAACAGGTAAGTAAAACTTAAACATTTTACCAGATGGTAGACATTGCTGATCTTTGTAAAATTAAAAATAAAAAAAAAACAGCATTCATTTTTATGTAAAAATGGAAAGTGTCAACTTCCAGAGCTGATAAAAAAAAAGCTAACAAATAATTTCAGTATTGTGTGCTACCGCATGGCAATGCAATAGCATGAAACGGAGCTGCAGTGACAAACTAAAATGTGTGAATGCATTACAGTCACAAACATTGTTAATACCTTAAATTTAGATGCATACATTTTAACGTGTTTAAGTTTCAATAAGTGAAAAAGTTTTTTTTTTTAACTCAATTCTTAAATTGTATGGTGCCTTGTGGCAATTGAAAATGAATGGCAACGTGGGCTATCCTCCGAATAACGGTCCCAAATTATCAAGGCTGAAAATATACCCTAACAGGACCTCAGTCACGTGTCAATTGAGAACTTCTGTGGACTATACCACAGAAAATATCGCTCACGCTGTGTGGATTAAGGCTAAACTAGATGGCTGGAACTCAAGAGCAAATAAAAAAAAGGAAGCTGCAGGAGATGCCGTAGCTGCTGCTCGCGAGTCCCAGCCATCTAGTTTGGCCCCAATCCACGCCGCATGAGCGGCTTGGGGGATACTCTCGGCGGTGGCGTAAGTCGCCGGAAGTGCGCAATTGACATGTGACTGAGGCCCTGTTAGGGTATATTTTCGGCATCTATAATTTGGGACCGTTATTCAGAGGATAGCAGCAACATGAGTTGCTGACAAATGTCTATAAACTCAATTCTTAAATCATATGGGTTCTCCTTTAAACTACGACCGGTTAGTCGGAGTTCAGTCCCCACGAATCACAAAACAAAGTGCCGTCGACATGGCTGCTAGAGCTAGACCATGCGCTGCGACTCACAGTAGCCACCGCGTTCTTGCGACGCAAGACTTAGTGGCCGTAGATGTGACACCTGCGGATCTGTATGCCTTAATGAGCGATAAGCTTGCGTGGTTGCGGTGTTACCCTAACCCTACCCCACACCCTAGCCCAAACCATACCCCTAACCCTATACCAAACCCTAGCCGTATGATGACAGCAGGGTACTGCACGTTGTCTATCGCCAACACACAGTAATTATGTCATTTGTTTCGTTCCCTCTTTTCCACTCCGTAATTGCACTGCAGCCAAGGGACTGAACTCTGACTAACTGGCCGTAGTTTAAAAGAGAGCCATCATATGGAAATGAGGAGCGGCACCGGCTAATTCTAATGGCAGAAAACATTATTGCGACCATGGCAGTTTATCAAATTTTGATACATTAATCATCCCTGATGGCATTAATTTGTATAGTTTAATTCAACATTCACTTAATGAATTTGAGTATTTGGTATGTTTTAACTAACTAACTACAAAATCAGAGACAGTTGTCATAAATATGGAATGGAAATTGATGCAGAGAAAAACAAGATACTGGTAAATAGTCACAATAATCAAGTACCTAACAACATACAGATCAAAGGGAATAAACAAGAAGAGGTTGAAACCTTTAAATATCTTGGCTCCCACACATGCAATGATGGCATCTGTACCAAAGAGATCAAGACAAGACTTAATATGGCAACAGCTGCGATGTCGCAGCTGAATGCGATGTGGAAGAGCAACATCAGCATCGCCTGTTAGGGTCAATTTTTACAAATCACTGGTATTGTCTATTTTCTTTTTATACGGATGTTACAATTGGACTCCTAACAGTGGAAATGGAAAGGATGATTCAGGCTTTTGAATGTAAATGGTACAGATGCATTTTACAAATTAGTTATTTAGAACACAAAACTAGTAAATATGTTAGAGACACAGGCGGTAGATTGCGCCTCCTCAGGTTGCTGTTTGAGGTATTGCCAAAAATATCACCGCAACCATGGCGGTTTAAGTTTAATATATTTTTTTATATATATTACGCATCATCAGACGTTTATTTTTTTACAGTCTATTCCAGTATTCATTTTAACATGTGTCTGGAAAGTTTCAATTATTGAAGCAGCTAAAATATGTCACTTCAAAATTTAACAATAAGATAAATTAGCGACTACAGTTTCGGAAATTTGCTATCTTTTCGACAATTTCCGTTACCATAGAAACCGTTTAAAACTTGTTTCGGAAATGTCGGCTGGGGTTTCGGGATGGGTCCTAATCTCTCATGAAATTTTGCCATTGGTGTGATTTTCACCCACTCTAAATAGCTGAAAACGGCGGGAAGGAACCCGATTAACAGCGCATGTCTACGACAGCCGGACATTCTCTGTTTTTCTGTTAGTCTATCAGTTTGATTGAAAATAGCGGTAAATTCGAGTTTGGCTTTAGGCTTAAACATTACCAGTTGTGGTAATGCTAGTTACAATTGAATTCTCCGTCCAATTTTACATTTGCATATTAAATTTTTTTTCCCGACTCTGGCTGTTTAGATTTACAGTGACATTTTTTAGGCAATCGCATGCGGCTGAGTGAGCTGAGTCTCACTGCCTGCCATCTTGTCCAATGACAGTCCAATGTCAACAAAGCCGATACAGAACTGCGCAGTAGGTTGCGCAGTCAAAAAACTTCTTGTTTCTGGGTCACAAGTTTTAGCGGCTGTTTCTTACTTACATCTCATCTCCACAAAAACCTACATATCTCAGCTCAGAAATGACATACAAGCCTAAATGAGGTACCATTGGAAAGAGATTGTTTACAGCTATCTAACTGTGCTGCTTTTATTGGTGTAGAGGGCATTTTAAAAATTTGACTGAAGTACCTAGATAAATAATAGTATATTATTATTATTATTATTTAGGGACTACAGTTTCGACAACTTGCGGTCTTTTCGGCAAGTTCCGTTACCCGGAAACCGTTCAGAACTTGTTCGGGAAATCTCGGCTGGTTTCCGTATGGGTCCAAATCTCTCATGAAATTTTGCCATTGGTGGGAATTTGGACCAGCTATAAATAGCTGAAAACAGCGTGGGGGAACCCGATTAACAGCGCATGTCTACGACAGCCGGACTCCTCTGTTTTTCTGTTAGTCATCAGTTTGATTGAAAATAGCGGTAAATTCGAGGTTGGCTTTAGGCCTTAAACATTACCAGTTGTGGTAATGCTAGTTACAGTTGAATTCTCCGTCCAATTTTACATTTGCATATTAAATTTTTTTTACCGACTCTGGCTGTTTAGATTTACAGTGACATTTTTTAGGCAATCGCATGCGGCTGAGTGAGCTGAGTCTCACTGCCTGCCATCTTGTCCAATGACAGTCCAATGTCAACAAAGCCGATACAGAACTGCGCAGTAGGTTGCGCAGTCAAAAAACTTCTTGTTTCTGGGTCACAAGTTTTAGCGGCTGTTTCTTACATCTAATCTCCACAAAAACCTACATATCTCAGCTCAGAAATGACATACAAGCCTAAATGAGGTACCATTGGAAAGAGATTGTTTACAGCTATCTAACTGTGCTGGTTTTATTGGTGTAGAGGGCATTTTAAAAATTTGACTGAAGTACCTATATTATTAATACTAATACTTTGACTTTCCATAAAGTTGTCATTTTATAATGTGTTAAATTATTTAATGTTAATAATAAATTTAAAACATATTAAAGTATCTTATCTAATTTGCTTTACAAAACACCGTAAACTGAAAATGTTAGTTAAATCACAAGAAAAACGGTTTTGTTGTGATCTGAGGAAACTGACCTCCTGAATTTCGGTTGATTTGTGTCGAAATTTTAAAAAACTAAACAACTGTTTCTTTGTTGTATACAAATTTCCCTGTTATGATATTCAGTACAAAAAAGTGTAAGCTTTAACTTAAACACTGTGTCACATAAATAATTTACCGGGATGTTTGGCTGAACTTCTACGTTGCATTCATGGCAAAAGAAGACAGGAGGACGTTCTACCAGTGTAGCTTCCGCCATTTTGCTTCTAGAACTAAACCAATGACGTCACGACAAAACGACAAAAATCCGGTTCTATACATAGACACTTCTATCGTGTCGTCGTGCGGTTTGTGAACAAGAATTCGGAAGTGTAAAGAATCCTTCATCAGGCAATGCCAAAATAATTAATATGAGTTCAGACAATTCATCTTAATTATTTTAATATAACAAAAATTAACGAATAACTCATGCGAGTTTGTGTGTGTGCGTGCGCGCGCGTGTGTGTGAGCGTTAATGGTAATGTGACTATAAGTATTTGCGTATCCTTTACAGGACGTTGCAGAACCAACCTTAACAGCCCCTGCCTGTTGTGTGGTTTTCTAGGCAAATTTACGTCCAGTAGACTGCCATAGCTTCTGGACAGTCGGCTTTCTTGATACCACTGTCAAAAACAACGCAAGGCACATGGCCCGCAGCTGGGGGTCGAACCAGGTATATCGGCATTACGAAGCGTTCGCACCGACTTAGCCACAGAGCCGACAATGTGACTATAAATGCGCATAAAAATCTATGCCGTAAAAATTTATACTGCTTTTTAAAGATCTATCTTAGTCATTAGTAAAACTTATTAGGAAGTTGCGGACATTTAGTTTTATAGACGAGTGATGAGAATACCCTGTATAGATAAAAAGAATAATAAAGACGGCTTGAAAGAAACAGATTTACGAAGATACCTGATTGCCGACAGACAGGTGCAATCTACAGTCTTTGTCATTTGATGAGAAGGAGAAAACGAGTACATTGTAGGTAGAGGGAGACAGAGAGAACAGACGCTGCACAGTTTAACATCCTGGCATGGAAGATCATATGTGTCAGAGTTGATAGAAATTACACGAGAGAGAAGGTTTGGGGACAGACATGACTACAACGCAACACGGCATGTACTTTAGAAAGAAGAATTATCTGACCATTTTTTCTTAAAAGTCTGCAGAATGCCTAGCTGATTAATTTTTTTAAGCTACATTTATATCTGACTAAATTGACTATCATTGGGTTGCCGCAATTTCGGACACAGGTATGAGGGGATATTAAGGCCGTTCTGCTGCGAATCGCCTCGGGCGCCAGCCGCTCATTTCTGATTTTACGGAACCTCATGCAAGATAATGCCACGCGTCCAGGTCGTGCACTACGGATAATAATCTATACAGACCTATCGAGCTGGCGGGGATCCGAGCTGCTAGCGCACAGAGATAGTGTCCAGAAAAAAAAACTATGGCACTTATTGGCATCACATGTTAAGGACACAATGTTAGCAAGATTGTCTAGCCACTGATAGTACAATTTCTATTATAATCACAACCAAAATCAAAGCATTTTGTGAAACAACACAAATTACATATCGGTCATATAAATAATTACATGCTATATAAATATAAAATAACACAAAAATATCAGGATATAACAGACTGAAGTACTATTTATTTATTTATTTATTTATTTAAAAATATGAGATAAGGAACACGACTGTAAATTGGTAAAATCAGCATTATCAGCTTCCACTTATCCCCGTTGTTTTGGGGAACAGTTTGCTGTCCAGCGTTAGATGGATAATACTGACCACTGTATTCGGTATAAACTGATAATAATATATATAATGCCATCAATCCCTCTCTTCTTCAGACCACTTTTGTTGATAGCTGTACTGTGTTCGAACGAGATAAATTTGGCGGAATGTGGATGTTGAATTAAGAATCGACATCATGGCACTCGGGACACCCACAAAAGCGCCCCGTCTCCATTTTCAGCAGCAAACGAAGAGTTCCTATTCTGATGGCCCCAGCAACTGTTTAATTGTATATCCGTTTCGCCCTTTCCTTGAAGGTCGGTCAGATCCCCTGGTAATTTCTCGATGCGCCATTCTTCTCAGATCGCAATGATCTCTTTGCGCTTCCACAAATGGCGAAAGGTGTTGTTCCCAGAGTCTATTTGATTATGTAATTTCTCAGTCATGAATGGTCGAACTAGTGACTTATGTTATCGCAAACGACGTCACTGCACATTACACATTCCCATGTATGCTCAGTACTCCGATACAGCAGCCACTCCAAGGTACTTCTATTAACTGTTCACGTGAGAGGTTGATTATAATGTCTCCTATCTCAGCCTCGAAGATGACACAGATGTTCTTAGCCATGTTTTACTTCCATGTTACGTAATCGTATTAGTATCCAAGATTCGTCATTGTCCACTAGCCCAGTCCGTAAAGCGTTGATGACTTCTCTATCCATGTTTCTTCCCATATGCGTTGGTGCATTGCTTGCCAGTTGGTCCGCTCGCTCATTATCCTTCACGTCAACATGACCAGGTGATGGAGGTTTGAAGTGCGATTTTCGAATGCTTTCTACCCATTCAGAACGTTTACTGCCTGATACCAACTTCTAAAGCATGTTCATTAAATCTGATACTGCACGTCTGGCTATTTGCTTTGCTGCCTATGCTAGTGCCATAGAAGCAGAAGCCGTCCCCATTGTCATGCTTGACGTAGTTGCCCGGTAAGCGTGGCAATCCTCTTTTATCGTTTTCCATATCCATTGTTCAGTGTATGCCCCAGCTGACCTTGATCTGCGCTTCACGGATCTATTTGTGTAGATGATGATATCTTCTGAGTATGAATGCTGATCTATCAGTGCCTTTACCTCTGTGTCTACGGCCTCAGGAGTCTAATCACTGCAATACCTCTCCAGCGTAATGAGATGCCATGCATGTCTACTGGTGTATTTATTTGTCCATTCTTTTCCGTGTCTGGTCCCGTCTAGGTCATATACCTGCTTAATTGTTTGTTTATTTGAGTTAACCGGATGTAAACCCCAACGGAAAGACCTGGTTGTTCGTCCATTTCTGGACTTTATCTTTATTCTAGGACCTGAGTTTTGCGCATGCCTCCTTTTTACAGATCTTGCTTATCTGTATGCAGACTGTTGGTTCCTTGCCTCTCAGACAGATGCCCTCCGACTTTGAAGGAAGCTCCCATTAGTCGACTCTTGCGACATGCTTATTGGGGAGATAGTTGGTCTATTCTTGTTTTACACACAGTGGAACCCGGAACCCACACGAGAACCTGCTAGATTAAATCTTTAGCCTTATCCGTCCAGGATAGGCCTCTTTTGAGACGCATTCCTTTTGTTTCGTCTATAACTTTTTACAATGGGTGGTTAACGTCTGCCGATGTTCTATTTTTATTATAACCTGTCGTCGCCATGTGGGATGCAATTGTTTGTTTGAATCCCCACCCTGGCTTCTGCCGGAGTCCCTGAATTTAGCCGGGGCATAGATATGGCCTAGTCATAGATTTGGCATAACAGCTGAACGGGGTTTATGGGACCTCTCCACGAATGATTCTCTGTCGCATGGTGGCACTTTGTGTCACCGAGTGTTTATCGCTTGTGTGATGTCCTGGTGGGGCACAACTACATACCTACCTCTGCCGATACCCTCATGTGCGCCTTGACCTGTGCAACGTTGTGTATATTAGCCATCGCCGGCAAACCCTGGACATATCGCAATGCGCTGCAGGAGGCATCTTTTTGTGCAACCTAGTATAAGTCTCAAGGCCTCATTTTGTACTCGGTCAAGTCTTTAAAGCTGGGTTCTGCTGACAGTGAGGATATAAAAGGAAAAGTAGGCGTTGTTCAATATCAGTTGCTGCTAGCAGCCTGAGCGCTGTCAGACCTTTCCTGGTTCTGTGTAATTTTTAAAGGGGTAGAAAATATTAGGCAAGAAAAAAAGCTGGCAAGAATGAACAAACCGTTTATGTTAGCTTAACAAAATCGATCACAATAAACCAAACAAAGGACGTTGCGGCGATTAGCCTTCATCAGCACATAACGAACAACACATTACACATACACAAATATGCTCTAACTATGAAGTGACTACATAGGATTATAATGTACAAAATAAATGATACTCATCTGTGTCACTGGCGAAAAAACTTCGTTCAAGAGGATGACTAGGACAGCTACTAGCCTATATATCACCAACGCGCTGACGGGGAGCGAAAAGCGGGGTCAGTTTACCCAGGAAATGGGCGAAGTAGATGCCCACAGACACACCAGCGTACACTGAGTGTCTAAAGAGGGAGGGAGGGGTTGGCCAATAAGGCGTAACCAGGGTTGGGTCGTAGGGGTGACATTAGTCCATCCCCATAGAATTAAAGACTTGCCTGTGCTAGCGAACGAATACCAACAGACAGGCAGGCAGGCCGACAGACAGGCATGCTGACAGACAGGCATGCTGACAGACAGACAGACAGACAGAGAGACAGACAGACAGACAGACAGACAGACAGACAGACAGACAGACAGACAGACAGACAGACAGACAGACAGACAGACAGACAGACAGACAGACAGACAGACAGACAGACAGACAGACAGACAGGCAGGCAGGCAGGCAGGCAGGCAGGCAGGCAGGCAGGCAGGCAGGCAGGCAGACAGACAGACAGACAGACAGACAGACAGACAGACAGACAGACAGACAGACAGACAGACAGACAGACAGACAGACAGACAGACAGACAGACAGACAGACAGACAGACAGACAGACAGACAGACAGATAGATAGATAGATAGATAGATAGATAGATAGATAGATAGATAGATAGATAGATAGATAGATAGATAGATAGATAGATAGATAGATAGATAGATAGATAGATAGATAGATAGATAGATAGATAGACAGACAGACAGACAGACAGACAGACAGACGGACAGACGGACAGACGGACAGACGGACAGACGGACAGACGGACAGACGGACAGACGGACAGACGGACAGACGGACAGACGGACAGATAGATAGATAGATAGATAGATAGATAGATAGATAGATAGATAGATAGATAGATAGATAGATAGATAGATAGATAGATAGATAGATAGATAGATAGATAGATAGATAGATAGATAGATAGATAGATAGATAGATAGATAGATAGATAGATAGATAGATAGATAGATAGATAGATAGATAGATA